ACTGGGACGCAATCGCGGCGAATGAAAAAAGTTAGCGCGCCGCCGAGCAAAGTTTCGGCCCGGTGGCACCGTCTCGAGGGCCGACTTCGCTGTTTCGACGTGTCCGGGACAGTCCCCGGCGCGAGGGCCGCCCTTCCCTCGCGGTGAGACGCCTTTGTGATCCTCCGCGATGCACGTTCCCCGATGGCGATAATCGATATTCCCGAGTCGATCGGGAGACTCGTCTCGAAATCCACTTTCCCGAGCGATTCTTCGAGCACGCCGGACCGCTCCTCGGCCGCGGGGAAGGATCTTCGATCCCCGTGTCGTCTGGGAGACTAGAATCCCGCGAGATTCCCTGGATTTCCGGCAGCGGGGATCGAGTGTCGGTTATCAGATGCTGTCTCGCGAAGGGGACCGACGGTTCTCGAGAATGACAATCACTTTATTCGAACTTTCCCGGGAAACTGTGGGACGCAATCCGTTCAGGAGAGTCTCCAGGTGAAACGGGGAGTTTCCGTTCGAGCTAGACGCTTCGCCGGCGACGGCGACGAGTTTGTCGAGCAGCTTTAGAAACGCGTCTCCTCGTTGAAACGGATGACACGCCGAGAAGAAACGTCGATACACGTTCAGCGCGGAAGAATCAATGAACGAGAAGGCGCCGGTTGAATAGCCGTGAGCTCCGGGAGACTGCATTCGACGCGTCCCCGAGTCCTTCCATCCCGCGCGCGACTTTTACACGAGATTCCCATCAATTCTTCAGCGAGCGGACGCGACGCGCGAGTCGAAACGACAGCCGCGAAGCTGACGGAGAGAATTGTCCGCGGACGCGGAAGATTCGGTTACGGGAGCTAATCGGCTCCGCGGGATTGAACCGGACCGTAAACTAGAGAGATGCTACCGCAAATTCGCCGGAAGATAGCTTCGGAAGGCGAAGAGGGAAGGAACAAGCTGACAATACTCGAAATCGAAAGAACAACAAGCAAATAAAAAGGAGTCCTCTCGAGGATGAAGCGCTGCCAGAGCAACCTCCCTGGATGATGAACTCTGCGACCGAATCTTCGGTGATCGTTTATAAACTGAAACGCTCCTCTCCCTTTCTAGCCTATCCCCAGGAATCCCCTCGGTTTTTAACAACGGAAAGCTAGCCAGCGAAGCAAGAAGCTAACAATACTCCTCGAAACCGAAAGAACGAGAAGCAAATAAAAAGAAGTCCTCTCGAGGATGTGCTGCCAGAGCGAACTTGGATGATGATTTCGAACTTTGTAACCGAATCTTCGTTTATAAACTGAAACGCTCTTGAATCGTCGAGATTTCAAGGACTCTTCTCCCCTTCTATCCTGAAGTATCTCCTCGGTTTAACAGTGATCCGTGATCGTCGTCACCTGTAGGTCTCGATCGGTTGTGTGGTGCTCGTGTAGCTGCGCATCGAGTAGCGACCGTGCGACGAAGGTAAAGTGACAAAGCGAAGTGTGGACCGTGAAGTGGTCGCAGACCGTCAGACGACCATGGACAGAAGAGACAGCCGCTTGGTCGTTCGACAAGGTCGCTCGCCGGGCGGGAACGGCAAGACAGCCTCGGGATGCTGCACGCTGTTATGCTAGGTAGCGGCCCGGGACGAGGGAGACACGAATGGTATCCAGGATTCTATTTGCAGCGGCGACGAATCGGGTGCAGGATGAACCGCGGTGAACAGGAGACGCTGTTCAGGCAGAGCCGGCAGCTGACCAGGATCGTCCCGTCCCACGAGGACCTCGTGCTCAGCGTCCTCAAGTCGCCGATCAGCCAGCAGCATCAGCATCAGCAAACCCAGCAGCAAAGGCAGCAGTACCACCACGCGCACCACTCACACGAGCACCATGTTAACTGCCAAGGTCATCAGAATCATAAGAAGTGCACGCACTCAGGTACCCCACACTCGAGCGTTCCCTCGGGCGACGACGGGATCCTGGTTCGATCGATCGGTTCTGCGTAGCTGTTGCTCTTTGAATACCGAGGAAGTCACTTGTCTTGGAGACTGTCGCTTAGAGTGACGCTCACTCGTGATTCGGATGATTTTTTAATTGGTTGAAAGTATTTGAGGGTTTGAGTAAGTTGTGGTAGGACTTGGGATCTTGGGTAGAGTGACGCTGACTCGTGATCTGGATAATTTTTTAATTGGTTGAAAGTATTTGATGGTTTGAATAAGTTATGTGTACGTGATTATCGAAACTGGGATAATATTCTAAACGTTGACTGCTACGATGTGGTTAATGATTATCCAGATCATCGAGGAGGTAACTTTTCGATAAGTTTCATTGGAGAATTAAAACACGAAGCTGATACAGCCCGCGAAGGGTTAATCAATTTGATCGCAAATTTTTTCAATATCATCTCGTTCCATTAATCTCTCGACACCAGTTCGCCTTAACATCATAATTATCGGACGCTGTAGAGCGTAAAGAAATTAATCACCAGAAATTTGAAGGGTGACCCTTCTTCCCTGAATCGGTGAACGCTTATCAAAAATACAGAATTCTTAGCTCAAATGTTTATCACGTCAAATACTAACTAATTAATTAACCTTAAATACATTCACGGATCGTGTCAATTTAATTTTCAATACCTAACACGAGTTCGCGAGAAAGTTATTTACTTCGCAGAGTATTCCGAAGAATTTTCTCTTTCGTAATTTTCACGAGCGTTCTAAGTTATTTCCAATGACATAAAAATATCGACTTCGTAAAATATTCCGAATGATTTTCTCTTCCGTAATTTCCACGGGAATGTTATAAGAACGTTGATCGTAATCTACGGTTATATCTGTTTAATATCGAACGTTTCACGACGCCGATACATTTCTACTCGCAAGAAAAAGAAAAAGTTCGAGGACACCGATGTGCCGTAAATAAACAAGTGTCGAGTAAAAAAAGAAAAGAAAGTTGACAAAGTTTCGCCAACGATTTCATTGTATAGTCAAGAACCACCACCACCACTTCGCAATTTCTTAGGGTCTAGCAGAGTTTTCGCCGGAGCCACGAGAAACCGATGTGCTCGCTGCCTCGCAAGCGACATTTAAAGGGCCTAGAAACCGTATAAGGCGCATCTCCTGAATCTTGAATCAAGCAACCATTTTTCGCCCGCCTAACCGAATTCTATATCGTCGGTCCAGTGAGAAATTTTATGCATTTACGGGGATCAACAATTTTCAAACAATTTAGAATCAATTTTCGTCTTATTTCTGCTGAGGACATAAATGTTTCATTGTTTCGATTTCTATGCAATAACTTAATTATTTTGAGAATTTTGAATCAAGCAACCATTTTTCGTCTGCCTAACCGAATTCTATATCGCCAGTCGAGTACGGGGATTAAAGATTTTCAAATAATTTAAAATCAATTTTCGTCTTATTTCTGCTGACAGAAATTGTTTCATTATTTAGACTTCTTAATCATCCTATGAATCGTGAATCTGCCAAACGAAAAATAAAATATGTCGACTTCAATGTTGCAGATACAGTTTACTTATAATCGAACAAACTTTTATGAACGTACAAGCTTCATTGATCGAAGCTACAAAAGTTGGAGTTGAATAGAAGCTTATTAATATCATTAAAACTCTACCAAATCGTTTACTTTCTCGTTTCAATCTACTTGCAACTACAATCGGAACGTTGACAAAACTTTCTCAACTAACCTTTCAAAAACCGTTTGCAATTTACAGATAAACCTCTTCAAACTTATATTCCTCGTACATTTCTATGAAGATTTCAACTGAATCCTCAATATTCTAAGTAGCGTGCAGATCTCCATTCATAGCAAACGCGATAGATCAAACTCCGACCATGGAAATGCCAACGAACCAGATTGAATATTCTTTTTCATCCAGCTTTATTACGAGCCCAGTAATCTCCTATATAATTCCTGTTTTCGCCGGTTAGCCTCCATTAACATAATCCCCGTAAAGCTCTCGAGTCCCATTACAGGTGATAATTATTCTACAAACGTTCGCCGATCCACGGAAGTGGAATCATCCCCTAAAGCGAGGACGATTAATTTTTCTACAGCGCCCAATTAGCCAGTCTCGTTTCTTCATCCTCCGCATTCATCAAATAAAATACCTCGTGCATCGTTAAAACAATTTCACCTGATTCCGCCGCGAAAACATTGAAAAAACCAAATAATCGAACATCTATTCGAAAAACATCAAGCGAAATCCGATAACAAGCTCGCGCGTTCGAATTCCGCGTTCGAAAATTCGCGCGAAGGTCTAAGCGAGTTAATTTCAATCGATGCTCGTCGGTGGCTCCCGTTCGATATTGTTAACCGTAAAATTATGAAAATCCTCGTTGTTTTACATCGCCGACCCGCCTCGCGTTTCGAAGTTGCCGCTCGCTAAGCCGGTTACCGTTCGATTTTGCGGAATTAGTTCGACCCGCCTGCAGCTCGGTTTTAATTAACGAATTATTTGTCGCCGGGCGGCGTTATTCCCGCGATTCTAGTTACCGAACCGATCGGCGCGGACCGGCCGAAGCGCCGCGCGGCTCGAAAGTGTCCTTAATGCTCCGCCGTTGCGGCTTTTACTCGCCTCCCGCTTTACGGACCACTAAAATCTAGGCAAAAACGGAAGGGCTTTGGATACTTATTTCGGTTCGCGTCCCACCCTTCGTTACGAATAACTGCCCCGAGTAATTCTACCGCAGAAACCGATTTCTCCTGCACTTCCGACGAATAGTCTTACCGTTCCGATCGATGCGCCGAAACTATTCTGCGATTTTTATGTTCTATTTGTTTTTACTGCTTCGACGTTGACGATCTTGTAACGGAATCATGGAAATTGCTTAGGGTGCATACTTAACCCCTTGCCCTATGCTTTTTAACTGCTGTCGATCTAATTGCTGTTATTGATCAATCGAGAATCAAAAATTCTAGACGTGTTCTATGTCGACGTTTGTGAAGTATCTTCACAAGACACAACACGTGACACGGTATTATAGGGGTTAATTCGCTTTTTGAATGTCAGTATTTATTGATTATTTATTAAATTCATTAGCTAACGCTTGAATAGTTGAATAGTTTATTTTGTAGCTGCGAAATTGAGAATTCGGAGGATTTCAACGGTTTGGATTTGTGATTAATGAACATCGAATGGTATAATTTCTAGATGGTCGATCGTCGATACAGGTGAAACGTTGTAAATCGAATGCAGAAGTAATAGGCAGTTCCATAGTAGCCAATCATTTAATAACCATCATTGTTTCCATAATGCGATGCTTGTAATTCGGCATTAACCTGGCTGCGGCTGTTAGTTTGAAATAATAATTGTGAATAATTCTTGAAAGAATTGGAACGAACGCTTAAAACGACTTTCTTGTAGTGTTTCTAACAAAACGAGAACGCGATTAGATCGGGAAAGATCGAACGAAGGTAACGGTGTTAGAACAACGCGCCGAACAGTGCGACGAAGTTAATAATACAAATGCTTTGACAAGTTTTCCTCGGTTCATTCAAAGCGACTCGACTGTGACAAACTGGAAATCAATTTTTACGGTGAACGAGTATTGGTCGCATTTGTAAAACCGACAATTTTTCATGGTTTCGACGTTTTGCGCGGCAAACCGGTGGAAATTGTTGTTTTTACGCGTCCGATCGGCTTGAATGATTCTCTTCTTTCGTTTCGCAGTGTTTTAACCCTTTGCACTCGAGAGATTAATTCGTGCAAAGTATTTCTTTAGGTTAATTGTAAAAAATGTCCTTGACATTTCATTAGGAAATAATGAATATTTGTCGAGAAAAATACTCTCGAGTGCGAGGGGTTAAGAGGTTAAGGTACAGTGGCAGGTCAAGAACGTTGACTAACCTTCTGTGGACGTTATAAACAATGTTTGTCATCTTATTTATCTACAATATAAATTACAAAAATTGGTATGCTGGAAATCTCATCTTATTACTGATCAGATTATCCGAGTAGAAATCCAAAATTATATTCTAATCCGCAAACACCGATCTCATTTCGCAATTTCTCTGAAAATCAATCGAACAATAGTTCCCTTTATCGTCCACATTCTCAGGAATGATTAAAAAAGTCCAGAAAACTGTTCATCAGAGAGCGAGCAAACGAATAACATGACAAACGTAGCAATCTCAGTAATTCGAACATCTCGAGAAATATCCTTTTCGAGAAGAACCTTTTCAGAGATGTAGTTTCTTCCCTCCTTTCTGCTGCAGTAAAAAATCAGTCGATTTTTCAACGTCGAGCCTTTCACTCTCGCGTTGAACAATTGAAAGCAACGTTTCACGCTAGATTCACGGAAACCGTGAATTTCACGGATGATTCATCAATCATTATTAACCACCTGCGCTAGAAATGAATTCAGAAATTTGTCAGTCTCCTGCGATGAATTTTATTTTTTCCTATTTTACAATGATATATACACTAATTTCGTTTGTTAATCATTCTGTATAGAGTGATACACTTCAAGGGGTTAATATCAGTTCGCGATGCAGATTCTCTACTGATTCTAAAGTAACTAATGTCGAAGCTACAACCGTCATCTATATAAATAAACACGCAGTTTTCCAGAAAAAAATGGAACGAAATGTAGAATAAACGTCCGTAAATCTAGTGTTAACCGAGAGAAACGTTGAATTCTCTTGTAAATCTCACTGTACCTTAACCCCTTAAATCTTTAACGATCGACGGAGGGTTCCTTGCAGGCTTTAAGCAGATTGCAAGGAGGAACCCTATTAGCCGCTTTCCTCGAGCGTACCGGGGATTCCCCGTTTTGACAGCTAAAAATGGCGAGCGGAATTTCTTTGCGCCCGGAAACAAAGGATTCACGAGTTATCCTCGATTCTATCACCGAGAATGGCCCACGTTCGTCCTCGATTCTCGATCCTCGATCCTCGATACACGGTTCCCCATGGGG